CAATTCATAGTGAAACAAATAAAACATAAATTAAAACAAATAAACACATAAGAGCACGTAGCACATAACACGTAAACATAATATCTAGATGCCAAAATCCTAAGAAAAGCGGACAAAACACATAACACATAAGCCACATAAACACGCAACCTATCTATTACATCGGGGGCGCCTAACTACAATCTAGAAGGGAAAAATATAATAAAACAAATCTAATTATGCTATCTATTACATTTTTGAGGTATTTAAATGCCTCTTGAATCATTATAAAAATTAACTAAAACATATATAAGAAAATTTGAATGAATATTTAAATCAAGTAAATAAAGCATATAAAAATATATAAACACATAAGAACAAATAGGAGCACATAAGAGCACGTAATTGACATTGAAATAATAAAATAGGGGTACCTCCCGTTTGAAGTGGTGACTAAATGGAGTCAAATTGTCCTATTTATACTCACAATGAACAAAAGAATCATGGCACCACTTTAATTGAAAATAATAATAATGTTAAAATACTAAATTCACATTAACATGTCAAACGCAAAGAAATTTAAGAACATCTAAAAATTGCAAGTTGAATATGTTCAAAAATAACATAATTAGTTATTAAAGAAAAGAAACAATCATAATAAAGAGAGTCAAAATTCATCAGGGACTGAATTGCAAAGATTGAAAACTTTTAGGGACAGAAGTTATATTTTTCCAAAGTTTAAGGGTCAAAATTAAATGAAAGATAAAATTCAAGGACCAAAGTGCAATTAAATTAAGTACCTAAGTGAAAGGAATTTAAAATATTCTGGGCCGAAGTGAACTACTCCAGAGATCAGGGGCTAAAGTGCAAAATTTGATTTCTGATTGGGGAGAAAAAGGCCATTGGGCCATTATTTATTTCTTTGGGCCGAAAACTACCTAAGCCCAACCGAAAATCCATAGAAACGAGCAGGCCAGCCCGTCATTTTATCACTCAAACCCGACCCAGAAATGCATGGGCTCCAGCCTCCTGGCCCATCCGAAATCCAAAAGAAAAAATAAGCCAAAGCCCATTTCCAAAACCCAACCAAAACTAACTCCTGGCCCAACCGAAGAAAAAACATTAGCCCAAACCGTTTTCTTTCTTTTCTTTTCTTTCTTTTTTTTTTCTTCTTCTTCTCTCTTTTCTTTTTTCCCCGTTCGTTCCGTCTCTTCTTCTTCCCAGGCGAGCTGAAGCTTCAGCTGGCGGCCATGGTGGTCGCCGGTGGCGCCGCCGCCGCCGACCGCTACCGCCGGTGACCTCTCCGGTTACCAAAAATCCTCAAAATACACCCGCTCACTCGATTTTTCGCGTAGGTTCCATTTCCGGAGTTAGTTTTTACAAAAGATGATCTGAAAGTGGCCAAAAAGTCAAAATACAGTCCAGTTTTTATTTTTTAAAACACCCAAATCTTTCACCAAAAATCATTAAAAAAAAAATATTACAATACTCCTTATAACCTCTATAATACAACTATGATTTTAACTAACCAGAAAACAATAACAAAAGACTACATTAAGGCAAAACAGTCCCTAAAAATCTTTTTTGGCATTTTTTCAAACAATTAATATGCATTCACAGACATCATTTCCTTTTCCTTCATCTAGCTCATGCCATTTCCCAATTTTCAGCAATGCAACAACAACAATACGAGGCAGCCAGCAGAAATGAAAGAAAACTAAACAATGAAGCATTGATTTAATGTGCTAGACAAAAACTAAAAAAAAATACCTCAATGTAGGTGTGTGTGAGGTTGAGATGGAATCGAGAATTCTGTTTGTTTCCTCCGCCCAAGTCCGAGAGAGGGAGAGTGAGGGGTCAGGCTGCAAAAATCCGAGTGCTTCCCTTCCTCTTCTTGTGCGTTTCTTTTTTTTTTTTGCCTCTGCCAAGTGAGTCCAGAGGGATTGGAATGCTTTTTTTTTTCTTTTGTGACTTGTCTTTTTGGTCTCCTGAAACTAGAGAGAGCCGAGGGATGTATTTTTGGGGGAGGAAGAGTGGAGAGAGTTTTTTTTCTTTTTTGTCTCCGTGAGAGCCGAGAGAGGAGCCGAGGAAGTAGTTTTTTTTTTCTTTTGTTTGGTTTTTGTTCTGTCTGTTAAGAGCTAGCCGAGAGAGGGAGGGAAAATTTTTTCCTTTCTTCCTTCTTCTGTCCTGGAGAGAGCCGAGAGATGTCTTGTAGCCAAAATGGAGCTTGTGTGCTGAATCTTCCAAAATGATGATTTTCTCAATTAATGAAAAGACAAGTCCATGGTCATTGAGTGTGAAATGGGTTAATAGTTAATTTGGTGAAACAAAATGATCAAAATGATTTTTTGATTTTTTTTTTTGATTTTTGTTTGTTTTGTTGTTTTTTTTTTTTTCTCTTTTCGTAAAGCAAACCTGCAAAAAATGAGAAAATGTACATTAAAATACAAGAAAATAAATAACTTATTAAATAGAAAAATCCTGGGAAAATATTAAAAATTGACAAAAATTTGGTGTCTACAATTATTTCACTATACGTTGATGATTTGCTTGTCACAGGAAGTAAACCAATCTTGGTAAATCAGTTTAAGGAGCAGATGAAGCAAGTCTTTGAAATGACAGACTTGGGAGAGATGTTCTATTTTCTTGGCATGGAGGTTATTCAATCTCAACAAGAAATCTTCATAAGTCAAGACAGATATGCAAGAGATGTGTTGAAAAAGTTTAATATGGAAAGTTGCAAATTAATTAGTACTCCATTGATTGAGAATGAGAAGCTTAGTAAAGATGATGGAGCTGCCAAAGTTGATGAAGACCTGTACAGAAGTCTTGTAGGTTGTTTGATGTATCTTACAGCAACAAGGCTTGATATTATGTATGCTGTGAGTTTACTGTCTAGATTTATGCATTGTGCAAGTGAGTTGCACTTCAAAACTGCAAAAAGAGTACTCAGGTATGTCAAAGGCAATGCTAACTTTGGAGTTTGTTTCAAAAAATCAGAAAAATTGGAGTTACATGGCTATTCAGATAGTAACTGGACTGATTCATATGATGATATGAGGAGCACTTCTGGATACTTGTTCAACCTGGGTTCTGGATGTTTTTCATGGAATTCCAAGAAGCAAGATGTGGTAACTCAATCTACCGCTGAGGCAGAATATGTTGTTGCTACGACTGCTGTTAATCAAGCCTTATGGCTTAGGGAATTGTTAGCTGATCTAAATCAAGTTCAACAAGAGGCTACTCAAATTTTTGTTGATAATGAAGCTGCTATAGCTATTTCCAACAATCCAGTGTTTCATGGGAAGACTAAGCACTTCAAAATTAAATATTATTTTCTTCGAGAGGTTCAAAAGAATGAAGAAATTGTTCTAGTTCATTGCAAGACTGATTATCAGATTGCAGATATTTTTACGAAAGCCTTGTCCAAAACAAGGTTTGAATGCCTAAGAAGACAGTTGGGGATCTGCAGTAAAAGTGGCAAGGAGGGGTGTTGAGATATGCCAACTTTTCCTACAGATTTTATCAGATTAAGTTTGATATCAGAATAATTTAGTTGGTAGAAGAATAAGTCTTATTGTTAGGATATTTGCTAATCAAAATCATATTGGTTTGATAACAAATATTTTAGTTAAGATTTGCTAGGTAGAAAATCATGTTATCAAATAGTTTTTGTTGAGATTTTCTAGAGAATTGTTAGCTGAAATTGTTTTAGTTTGTTTCTTTGTAAACACTATAAATAGGGTGTTGATGAATGAAGAAATTAAGTTCCTTTTTTTTTGGCCCTCAATATAGTCTTGATATCTTTGTTTATACTTCAAATAACCAACATCAAGAGATCCATATGTCAGTACTAAATTTATCCTAATAATCTCGCATCATAAATTTAAAGTTGGGTCGGACAGAAATTCCTCTAGGAAAAAGGGTAGCAAAATTTTTCAGTTGAAAATAGTTGAGAAGTTAAGAAAGTGTTGCAATCCAAATCAAAATGGAAAAGACAATATCCAATTGTCGATTCGATGTGGCCTGAAGTAGGGTAGAACTGCAATCACTATTAAAATTTCCCAATTAGATGCAGTGAGCCATACCATCACAATGACTGTCCAAATATTGTCTCAATATTGTTCATGTAGTTATAGATATTGTTCACTCACATAACTTGGTGCATGAATTATTAGGATCAAATCTAATCTCAAGAACTATACATCCACAGGTCCAAATATTCACCAAGCATGCATGCCACTGCACATTCTATTACAATTTAAATGAATTCTTAACGAGCTTGCATCAAAGTAATTGTCATTTCATCGACCGATACAGCTCCTATGCTTGCAGATGACGAATATGGAAGATTACTACCATTATTAACTTTTTTTATGACAAATGCAGGCTGTTTAGGAGAAACTGAAGGCAGCGCCGTTCCATTTGATAGCATGGAAAGTACTTGGGACATGGTTGGCCGATCACTCGCCTGTTCTTGAACGCACAAAAGGCCAATTTGAATGCATCTCAGTACTTCATCTTGATTATACGAGTCCCTCATTGATGGATCAACTATTTCCAGGGCCTTATCTTCTTTCCACAGATCCCAAACCTGAAGCGTAGAATCAAGCACATATATCAAAAAACAGAGAGTTTTCCTTTTCGTCAATCATAAATATGTTAGCCATGTCATCGAATTAGATTTCATGACTGCAGAATTATGCAAGCATGCTTACATATCCAATCAAATTGATAGCGTTATCATGGAAATAACTGCTATTCTTTCTGCCGCTGATAATCTCCAAGAGCAAAACCCCATAACTGAAAACGTCTGATTTATCAGAAAAGAGCCCTTGCATTGCATATTCTGGTGACATGTACCCACTGCAATCACACATATATCATATTAATTAGTCCTATGCTATTGCAAGTAATCTCTTCATATTAGTATTCATTCCAACTTCAGTACTCTGCAAACTGATGATCAGACTCAGAAGTAGCTGACTATTTAAAAAAAAAAAAAAGAATCAGAACACTTACTAGGTTCCCACCACTCTGTTTGTGTTAGCCTCCATTTGACCTGCTCCAAATATTCTAGCCATGCCAAAGTCTGATATTTTTGGCTCCATACCAGCATCTAGTAAAACATTGCTTGCTTTCAGATCCCTGTGGATAATTCTTAATCGCGAATCGCGGTGAAGATACACAAGTCCCCGAGCAATGCCTAGTATTATTTCAAAGCGTTTTCTCCAATTGAGCAATGCAGCTTTTTCTTTATCTGGACAATGCATATCGACTATCCATCACATTTTCATTCAGCATCTTAACATAATTCTTATTCAAATTGAGGGGTGAAAAATAATTTCTCAAGGCTGAAGGAAGATTGATGAACAAATATAGGGCGGCATGCAATGCCACTTTTCCGAATTGTAGAAAGTTATCATCGTTTTGTGCTTGTACCAAATGTTTTTCAATTTCAGAAAATGAGAATGTGCGACCACGTATGCACAAGATGAGTATAGTACTGCTGATAGAAGCATACCGAAGATGAAATTGTCGAGTCCCTTATTTGGCAGGTATTCATAAACTAGCATTTTCTCATCTTGCTGGATGCAACATCCCAAAAGCTTAACAAGATTCCTGTGCTGTAGTTTTGCTATCAGTGTAACTTCATTCTTGAATTCCTCAATCCCTTGTCCTGAACTTTTTGACAATCTTTTGATAGCTATTTCTCTACCAGTATGCAGTCGACCCTGAAATTAGAATCTAGAAACCAATAGGTTATCTTGTCCAGAAGGTAGCAAAACAAATGGAAAACTGAATTTATCATGGACAAGGAGAAGTCACCATGTAAACTGTTCCAAATCCACCCTCTCCAAGTTTGTTAGCAAGGGAGAAATTGTTGGTTGCTGAAGATATGGTTCTTAGGTCGAAAACCGACAAATCTGTATTTTCATCTATTTCCTTTGTTGTTGAAGAAGCTCCGTAGGACGGTCTTGGACTAATGTTAAAGCTGAGCAGCCGCTTGATGTACTGTCTTTTACCTGCCCTTATACACAAGCATTTCAAGAAGTCATAATGGAATTCAGAGAATTAGAAGAAAAATTCTAATCGGTAATGGTTGGTTTAGTTCTCTAATTAGGATTGAAGTCAAAATCTTGAAGCTTAAAGTCATCGTGTCATGATTTTTTGTACCCTGAACTTTGAAGAAAAGATCAGAAATTTCTGAGCTTTTAAGTATGTATATCTATGAAGCAGAATTTTACTGCCAAATCGATCTTGCAATAGAAAGATACAAATGCATTATTGTAATTCAAAGTAATTTGTTTACCTTTTCTATTCTTGAGTACCACCCATGACAAAAATAGCAGTATGAGAACTCCTGCTGCAGATGCTACAACAATGATTACCAACTTTTTGCTCCGCGAGTCCTTTGAACTCTTTAGAAATTCAGCTGCAAAGATGGAAAGACCACTCAATTGATTAGCTCAGCATGTTGCAAACAAGTCCAATTTGTAAATATTTAAGATTAAAAAACCTGGGAAGTCCCTAAACTATTGTCGTTATCTATTTTTGACCCCTTATCTAAATTTTGCTTTTGATTGGCCCTTAAACAATTAAAATCACATACTTTGAGGACTTCGGTGACTTTAGACATAAATTTAGCCGGATTTAAAGGGCTTTTTTGTCAGTTCACAATTAAAGTAATGGCACCAGCATTAGAAACCCTAAAAAAAAGGCAATCCTTCAACGACTGCTAAAGGATCTGAAGAAGAAGAAGAAGAAGAAGAAGGACAGGGTGTAAAAATGAAACTTGAAAATGCATAGCCAATAGATTGTACATATGGATATTGGAGTGTCTCTTTTGTTATTGGATTAAAGGTAGCAACGGATGATTCGTTGTCCATTAGCAATGAATCCTCCTTGGAATAGCAGATTGCATGATCTTTTAGTGCCTTGGGAACTGAAAAAGAGTACTTGGCATTCCACTTGGAATCAACAAAGCTGTAGAGTCCTCTTGATCTTTCCAGGAATATTAGACATGGAGAGAATGTGTTGGTGGTCCTCATCGGAATGGTGGAGTCGCAGAGGCTGTTGACACATCGGAAGTTTATACAGCCAACAAAAGAAAGTTTTCTAGCAGGGAGAGCAAGTATTTTTGAAGGGACATCACACAACAATTTCCTTTATTTTGCTTCTCCTGATCTATTCCCCACCAAACTCTTCACCTTGATTTCCTTTTGTTCCACCTCCATCCGTCCTCTTAGTTGTTCTTCTTCTTCTGATTTCCCAGAGATTCTAACTATTTCTTGCTGATGATTACTAGTGTCTCCCCTATGATGATTATCCTTAAAAAAAAGCCCTAAAAAGAGGCAATCCTCGATTTTTTACAGGATTTTTTGAAGAAAATCTAACGGTGTTTTGAAGCAATTGAAGGGCCGCCTCTTTTTAGGGATACTAGTCCTGATACTTCAATTGTAAACGGATCAAAATACCCTTTAAATCCAGCTAAATTTATGCTTAAAGTCACTAAAAATCCTTAAAATATGCAATTTTAATTGTTTAAGGACCAATCGAAAACAAATTTTAGATAAGGGATCAAAAAGTAGACAATCACAATATTTTAAAGACTCCCCAAGTTTTTTACTCAATATTTAACTATCTCCTTTCCTAGGATGTCAATCATTCAGAGGAAAGAAAGTCGCGAAACATTGACTGCCGGGCTTGACTCCGAGTCCATTTTTCCTTTTTCCATATCACTTTTGATTCGTGTATGGAGTACGTTTTTATCAGTAATGAATTCGTCATTGACTTGATGTCAAAATGTGATTGAATCGTCTCTAGCTAACTAACTGACGAAATCTAGTGCTCCTAATTTTCTCACTTTTGAGTTCCTTTCATGGGAATTTAAACAAGAAACAACAAAGATTGGTAGATGAACAATTGATAAAGAAAATTGACAGCTTACCTAACTCCGCGGCTGTAAGTCTGATGTAAACATCCTGGCCTCCATTGGAAAACTGCCTGATATCTATCAAGTTCCCGTACCAAGTGATGCAGCCACTTCCGCCACGACTGATATTAGCACTTGCATAAGCTGTGCATGAACAATTTCTTAAGCACAAATCCTGGCACTCTTTTGATCCCACACCCTCATTCACTCTAGCATTTGAAGTGTCAGGAACCTTCACAAAGGTCAATTTTATGAATCCGTCAGTGCTGTTTCCGCACGTCTTTTCTCCTTGCTTTCTGGTGCACCCATTGATTGCATCCCTCAGATACCATTCACTTTTCACCTTAGGCACAAAACCTGGAAGACATTTACACTCGAATTCACCCAAATTGTAAGGGTCACAGTCACTGAATGTGCCACAATGGCTGTAATAGTCGCATTGATCCCTGGGGGCAGACCAAAATTTGACCCAGCTATGCTCACCTCCTTGCCAAGTTAGCCTCTCCATGGTCCCTGATTCATTTAATACTAATCTAGAAAAAATATTGGGATCGTGAATACTATAGGAGAGGCTAACTCCATCATTATTATCGACATAGCTAACTGTGAAGATGAACTTTGAAGTCATGTCTGGTACTCCACTCAATTGGATCCCATTCCATGGCCCTGTTCGCCATAGCCGGTCTGATCGTTTGTACAAAAAGAATTGGGGTGAGCCATTTAGCTCCATGTTGAAACGAAAATCACCCGTCCCGGGATCATCTTGTGACTTCCAAGAGGTCAGGACTGTCTTAAATCCAGATGTCCGGTTCACCCCAAGTTTCATGTGAGGAAGCAAAGTATTAGTGGGAAAATCAAAACTTTGCCATGCTACAATGCTTCTGCTTTGATCTTGAAACAACATCAAATTCCCTGTTTCAGTGAGCTGAACAGAAGAAGAGCTAGTGGATAACATGCCTGAAACATTGGTGGACCATAGCAAAAGGTTGCTGGATTCATCGCGTAGAATAAGATTTCCTGATTTTTCAATGGATACAACTCCATTGGTGCCATTTACGGGACTGTCCCTATTGGCTACCCAGACAACAGTTTGTTCTGGAACTTTGTTGTACCAGATGCCGAGATATCGGTTTCCAGAAATTCCAGGGCTAAAGAAACCAAAAGCAAAGGAGTTTCCACTAGACACTAAAAGATCTCCATCTTTGAAAGATTGGTTTTGTGTGATGGAGTCCTTGGAAGTGCAATACCGGATAAGAATCAGGAGGAGAGAAGCCAACAAGTACCTTTTCTGGTGTTGCATGGTTCCTTCAAGGCTTCTTGCCTTTTGCATTTGGAAGTTTGAAAGGGAGTGTTGGGATGCCACTTTTTGTATATAGACTCGTCAATTACATGTGTTCAAGTGGTTGAGAAAACAGAATTTAAATAAAACAAAATCAAAATAGTATTTAAGGTGATTCTTGAAACATAGGCAGCATGCTAATTGAAAAAATGGTTCCCACGAGTTCACCAACATTTTGACCTCTTTACTTTGGATATTGTGAGCTGTATTCTGCAAAGTATTAATACTAAGCACTAAGCAGGACGCCCGTGCAAGTTCAGGTGTGCTTTCCTAAATTCCTTTCTGAAGTGCTCATAAGATATGGAGAGGGAAGTAGTCCGACTATAAGGTAGTGAGATATCTATGATCAGGTTTATGCTGATATTTTCACAAACGATACTTTTTTTTTATAATATAAGTGAAAGGGCTCGATACGAGACCTTTTATTTAGACTCTCTCTCACTCTCGCCACCCAATCCATTTCTCCCTTTATGACTGACATTAGAGTCTACTGAATTTTTTTTTTTTTTGAAAGTTTTAGAGTTTCTTTTAGTAACTTTTACTATTGACATCATTTTTGGGCTTTGTATTGGCAGCAAGTATGAAATTTCCAAAGAGCTAGTATCAAGTATTCAATGCTACGGTGATAATCATAAGCCTCTCTTTAATTAATGCAATGAGGTTCATCATATTTAATTAATTGATTGATACGTACCACAGAAGCATTGGTACCAGCTGGTAGATTTTTCAACTTAAAAAAAAAAAAAACTTACTCAAGTGTCCGGTTTCTGCAGGTATAGTACAAAGGTAGCATTTTGTGAAATAGAAAAAAGAGGACGTATGGTAATGTAATGTGCACGTATTTACCTTTGATTTTGCATTTCGCATTAGAACAAGTGTCCATCAAACGTTGAAGAGTCAGAATCACATTAAATTCGATGTATCTGTTTCCTTTAGTACTGACTTTTGCCTCTCAGTGTTACTTTTGCACCATTTAATCCATTTTTGCTTAAGATCACCATAAAAAACTTGATTAAAATATGGGAAATTACTGCAGCCCCCCCCTCTCCTCTCCTCTCCTCTCCCTTTCTAATTTAGAAGCACAAATGCTTTTTCTGCAATTGTATCAGTCACTTGCCATTTCTCCTTAAAGTGATATTCTTGAAATTCATAGTCAAAACTACACATGAACATTAGATCACATAAAAGTACAATAGTTGCACTCTGCGTACAACTATGGTAAAAGTTGCAATGAATTTTGGTTATCTACCCTCGAGTACAGTGACAGTTACGTCACTGGTTGGGCGTTTTTCGACTGGATCTTCAGTATCGTACATACTCCTCTCACCATAGAAACCTGCAGGCTGTTTGGGATGGGGTAGCACCATATTCGCACTATCCAACATCAACACCACAGAGGACATGGTTGGTCTGTCTTCAGGGCAGCGCTGCACACACAAGAGGCCTACTTGGATGCATCTTTCTACCTCTACTCTGTTAAATGACTCTTCCATCAGCTCATCTATTAGATGGCAAGCTTTCCCCTCACTCCAGATTTTCCAGGCCTGACGAGCATAGTTCAACAACAGATAAACGGAATTTTTTTTTTTTTTATATGCACAGATTATTTGTCTGTAGGAAGGAAAATCTATGAGCTTACATGTCCCAATAGATTAAGGTTGTGATCAGGATGATAGAAATCTCTGTTCCTTCTGCCACTAACTATTTCCAAGAGCAATACTCCAAAGCTGAAGACATCTGATTTCATTGAATATAGCCCATTGGTCACGTACTCAGGTGCCATATAACCACTATGTATGTTTAAAGAGTGTTAGAAGTCACAAACGAAGAAAGAAGTGTTCGCTCAAGGAAGACTCTTAAGGCCAGGTAGATTATCAAAGAAACGATAAGCATGCTTACTGAGTCCCGATAACCCTGGTGGTTTTGGCTGAAAGCTGCTCCTCTCCAAAAGCTCTTGCAATCCCAAAATCAGAAATCTTGGGATTCATCTCACTGTCTAAAAGAATGTTGCTAGCTTTCAGGTCCCTGTGAATGATCCTCAATCTTGAATCTCTATGAAGGTAGAGAAGCCCCCGGGCAATCCCAATAATAATGTAAAATCGCCTCATCCATGTAAGCTCTTTCCTTGTGGTACAATCTGCGGCAACTTCTAATCAGATGACCAGATAGCCTTCTAATATAGAGGAGGGCATCAGGAAAAACAGAATTTCTGTTTCTTCAAGTGGAATTCAATAAGCAAGAGAGTCTGAGATTGCTAACCATAAATATAGTTGTGCAAGCTTTTATTGGGCATGTATTCGTAAATAAGCATCCTCTCTTCACCATGAATGCAGCATCCCAAAAGTCTAACTAGATTCCTATGTTGAAGTTTGGAAATCAAGCTAACTTCATTTTTGAACTCAGTCAGCCCTTGCTTGGAATTTAGGGAGAGCCTCTTCACTGCAATATTTTGTCCTGTTGCAATTTGGCCCTGTAAATTGCGGAAAAGTTTTCCAAAGTGTCATTCCTGTTCAATGTGCACAGTTATTTGTACATTGAATTAGACCTCTGATCTCTCTCTCTCTCTCTGTGGACGGTGTGTGGTAACTACAAGAAAAACAACATTCCTGTTTGTTTATGATGACAAGTCCAGGATTGATTGCAGTGGATCTCTCTATCTATTTTACAGCTCCCTGTCTATATGAGCCCAATGAACTCCCGCCCTTTATATTTCTTAAGAATAGCTAATGCAGTTGCTTGTTTTAGTATACCTTGTAAACAGGTCCAAAACCACCCTCACCAATCTTGTTTGAGTCAGAAAACTGGTTGGTTGCTTCTGCAATGCTAATCATATCAAAAGTCGGTGATTTGAGCTCTCCCATACTACTAGATCTGGGCTCAGGTTTTCTTCCTACAACTGCAGTTTGTTCAACAATAGACCAAAAGTAGCATAGAAAAGGGCCTTGGAATCTCACATTAGATTAAACACATCAAAGAATTACCAGATAACCACAGTCAACAAGGTTCCGTGTAAGTGTGTTTATATGAAACTGTGTACTACTTATATGCCAATATAAGAGTTAAAAATTGAAATGCCGCAGCAAAGTTCTTAAAAAATTCTATACAGATGTACAAATTTGTTTCTGCCACCGGAAAACAGTAGTGTGAATTTTGTTGACATTAATAATTCAAAATCCCGTGTAATACATCATTTTGGTAAATCATATGGCAGTCACAGAAGGAAATTGACTGTCAGATTCAGGGTCTAAAGCCTGAAACGTTAGGACCTCGTGGCCCTGACACAAATCAAGAGAAAAAGTAGGAAAGACATAGTCAAGGAAATGGGAAAGTTACCTTTGCTGTATAATTTTTTTCTCCAGACAAGATATAAGGTTCCAATAAGCATCGGAAATGTTACAGACACAGGAATTGTTACCATCATGAGGCGTTTTTTCTTAGGATGTGACGATGATTCTACAACAAGACATGGTCAAAATGTCACCGCTAGAAAAAGGAACATCTCCAAATGTATATAGAAGAAATACTGCTAGAATACAGAAATAATACCAATATCCTCGGCTGTAACACGGACATGAAAAGTCAGACGATTGAAGGAATCATGCCTTTGTAAATCGAACAAATCCTCATACCAGAGCAAGCAATTACCATTCTCACCTCCACTGGAGTCTCCAGTGGAATAAGCTGTGCAGGAACAATTCTTTAAACACTCCTTTTGGCAATCATCGAGGTTCATATTAGAGCAGATATTGAAGGGCACCGTGTCAGGTATTTTAATTCCAGTCATCCTAAGAAATCCTTCATTCTGTGGACAGTTCAAGGGGTGTTTCCTAATGCAACCGTGTGATGAAACAAGCATATTACTATCTTCTGGAGCTTTAGGCACGAAACCTGTTAAACAGCTGCAGGGCTGAGAAGTGTATGATGTGCATATAGCATTTGGACCACAGCTGTCGTAATTTTCGCAAGTTTCACCAGGATGAGTGCGTATGTCAAACCACACAAGGCTTTTGTCGTCCCAAATGAAGAATCCAATGGTTCCTGTATAACTCAAAACTACAATTGAGAATTCGTTATTTGGATCAAACTCACTGTAAGCCTCTTCTGGAGTAGATATGAACTTGGGCTTGAAGAAAACATTTGGTCTCACTGAAGTTCCATTTAAAATTTGAAGATCGTATGATCCACTTCGGAATATCTTTCTCGTTCCCTTTTTCAAGTAGAATTGGGGAAAGATGCCGCGATCAATAGCAAAAGAGAATTCCCCAGGAGAAGGGTCTTCTGCACTCTTCCAAGATGTTAAATTCCTGTTTAAGCCATTTCTAATATCCCATCCCAGTTTCATGCCAGCTAAAAGTGTATCTGAAGGATGATCAAAGCTCTGCCAAAGATAGGTCTGATCAGATTTAGTATCACTTTCATACCGAAGAACGAGATTTCCCGAGTCCAGAAGCTGCGCTTGGGTAGCTGTCGTGGATATATTTAAGATATTTGTAGACCATGCCTTTTTTCCCTGGGAATTTTCAAGTATCAAGTTGCCATCATTTCCAATCTTCAAAATCCCAGATGCATCATTCAGAGGAGAGTTTCTATTGGCAACCCAAACCACAGTCTGTACTGGGATATCATTAGGCCATATCCCCAGGTACCGTAAATTAGAGTTTGGAGGAGTAAGAAAACCAAGCCTAAATTTCTTGCCTACAGATGTTAAGCTGGAGCTATCATTGAAAAGTTGGTATTGACTGAGCCTGTCATTTGCTGCCAATGTTGTTGTTGGATACAAAACCGCAAAAGAAATCTGGCACAGTATGTAGAAGAGATGGCGTCTAGCGAACTGCATGATGCTGCTTATCTAGTGAGCAGTCATCAAACTGTGCTTGAACTTGGAAGTTATCGTCAGTTCAAAAGCTAGAGACCGATTCTTAAGGCCATCCATTTCAGAAATGGCTGAGGCATTATTAATGGTACAGTGGGAAAAAAGGAAAAAACTGTCAATTTATTGCTTTTTGGCTTTGAACTAAGCTCTATCTTTACTTAAAGTCTGATAGACAAGGATGGTATTGGAGCTTTATCAGTCAAGCCGGATGGGTACTCAGTAGTTGGTAGTATCCCCTCAATACCCAGTTAAAAGGAAAACAATGCCAATGCGGTTGGTATAGGGTGCGGTTGATGGACAGGATTAATCTGCACAACATTAAAACATAGACGGGGGGAGATGCGAAGAAGATAGGCGGCATCATTTTGGGTAGCAAGGAAAAAAATAAAACGAAACAAAATTAAAAGAGCCAACTCCGCTCAATTCACCGTTAGTCAAGTCCCACAACAATAAGGTTTTCTTCCATAAGGTTTCTTTTCTGGGCAAATTACACTTTACCCTCCTATGGTTTAATATTTTTTTATATAACTCTCTTATGATTTCAAAAATTATATATAACCCTTCCATGATTTAGATTAAAGTATCAAAGTAATGGAAATGATCATTTGTAACGGAATCACCTAAAATATAAAAAATACTCTTATATAAAGTAGAAAATGGTTTATTAAGCAAGGAGAGTCAAGTGTATATTTTGAAAATTATAAGAGTTTATATGATAAAATATAAGATCACACGGGATTAGTGTATCATACATTTATAAAGGTAATATTGACATTTTAAGATTCCGTTATGAATGATCATTTCCGTCATTTGACACTTTAATTCAAACTATGAGAAGATTATGTATAATTTTTGAAACCATAGGGGGTTATGTGAAAAATTGCTAAATCACAAGGAAATAAAGTATAATTTTCCATTCTTTTTTTTTTTTTTGATAACTCTTCCATAAGCTTTCAATGTAAATTTCACAAGGTTGAGACTTGTTTCCAATATTTTTTCCCTCCAGTTTTGCCTCTATCTGAATGGGAAAGTATGGGACCTGCCCTAAAGTAAAAATATGAGAAAATCAATCAAAATATCTCTTTTATCTCATCAAATGAACTTTTTTTCTTTCATTTTTAAAAGGAAAATTTGACCATTTGGTCCCTCACATTTTCTGAAAAAGATTTTTAGTCTTTCAAATTCAAAATCAGTCAAAATAATTCCATAGACATAAAAAGAAGTCTGTCTATTTGATCCCAAAGCTTATTTTCACTCATTTCTCTGACCAAAAACCATATGCTTGCCTCGTGTGCTCATTCCTGTGAGCATGGTTTGTGCTTGAAATTATGAGCAAGTGAGGGAGATGTGTGTTTTTTGGCTAGAGAAGTGAGCAAAAATGAGTTTTGGGATCAAGTGGGCAGATTTTTTCATATTTAAGGGACTATTTTAGCTAACTTTGAATGTGAAGGAGGGGCTACAAAATTTTTTTTTTTTTTTGGAAATGCGAGGGACCAAATTGAAAACTTTCCCTTTTTAAAATACTAACTTTACTCCCTTGCAAAGTCAAGTTAGTAAATTTTGGTCCCAATCTAGGGCCTTGTTTGGCAAGTAAGTTTTTTAGGTGTTTGTCTAAAATTTTACTGTAACTTATTGTACAAGTTTTTAAAAAAAAAAATTTTGAAGTGTGTTTTTTTTGAATATTTTGAAATGTATAGTTTAAAAATTTTGGAAGTTTTTTGAAGTTGCTGTAGATAAAGTTTTTAAAAAACTTGTAGCAGGCAAATTTGGAAAAAAACTCAAGTGCCAAACAGGGCCTAGATTTTTTATCATTTTTTACTTTAAATTCATCACGTGACCTACGCATAATCATTTTTTTAGTGACAAAAAGGTTAAATCCCATTTATAATTAAAAAATGATTCTATTTATATTCATTTTTGCTTCTAAAAGAGTAGGATATGGCACAAACCATATTATTTTTGCTTAAAAAAATGGGGGTCCAACCTAATCCGTATTCATTTTTGCCACTAAAGAAGTAGGATCTAACTTTTTTATACATAAAAAATGACTGTATATGAGTCACATGAAGATTTCAAACTAAAAAGTGGTCAAAACCTGGGTTGAGACCAAATTTTACTGATTTAATTTTGTAAGGAATATAAAGTTATTATTTTAAAAGTGAAGGATGAAAAAATTCGTTTGACAAAATGTGAGAAATGTTTTAATAATTTTTCTTAAAAATATATACCTAACCATGTGTACAATATGCAACGAGGTTTGATTTAAAAAAAAAAATGGGACTCGGCCGGATTCCCTGATCCTTTTTCCTTTCCTTTTTTTTCCTTGTCCTAGATGCATTTTTCAAATGGGTTTAGAGTTAACTAGATTGAGAACAATCCCGCAATTAACTGTATTTGAGTGAATTTTTTAAAAAAGAACATTATTGATAGAATTTGGCCAATCGAAAAATGCCTAACCACCTTGCATAAAATCATAAGGAAATTATGTGGATAATAGTGAAAAATAACAAGGAGATAAAGTGGATAGTCATACAAATACAGGAGAGTCAAGTGAATACAGTGATTCTATTTCACACATAGCGCGTTTGATTCAATCATTGCAACTGGTGATGCTTTTCATCCATTTTTTTTTTATATAAATCGAAGGGATTTATATGACTATTTTGAAACAGGGTCATACTGATACAACATTATATAAAACTATAAGGGTGCTAATATTCTACAAAGCCATTGTGAAGCACTCACACTCCAAGATGCTTCTTGACGAACCTAGGAGTTGACTGACTTTGTCATGAACTGGTAACTTCCGCATTTATACTTCTTATCTGTTGTAAGGACTTTTATTCCTAAATCTACGACTGAGCCTATCTTAAGAAAATTGCAGCAGCCGACTAGTTTTCTTCTTAGAGTAGATGAAATGGCATAATACAGGATTTGTTATGGTGGACCATTTGATTGTTTTAATTTCCAATCCAAATCCATCGTGTCTACCGATGATGAATGGCTACATTTTGTAGAAGACAATAAGTAGTCTCTCAATGGGTAAAAAATCAATTCATGACGGTGCCTATACATCAAAAGTCTACAACTACTTCTGAAAATTCAAAATTGTAGGGGCCTCATATTCCACCTATGTTTTCAGAACCGGACCGGATAGTGACTCGGTCGAGGTCAGGGGTCAGGGGTCAATGGGTTCGACCGGGGGTCGATATGAGTCGAACCGGATGACGTCATAAATAAAAATTATTTGAAAATTAAAATATTATATATATAATATCTAATAATATATTGATATTAATAAAGGTATATTCATATATATTTGATGTTTCAAATATATTTAACAAGAAAATACAAAGAAATTAGAACAATCAAGTAGCAATTTATATTATTTAATAAATATTAACAAGTTTAGAATTAAAATTATGAATTTAATTGAAAAATAACATCAAATTTTAGGACAATATTTATAAAGTATCAAATATTTGAGGTATATCAATAAGTTTTAACAATTTAGGGGGTCAAAACATAATATTAAAAAGTTTGAATTTTTTTTAAAAAAATTACTGTTGAACCGGAAAAATTGATTTTTTCCCGGTCAAATCCGGTTTTTGACCGGCTTTGACCTGATTTTAAATTTTTGGATTTTTAATATGATTCGGACCGGCTATCTGGCCGATTTCCGGTTCGACCGGCCGATCCGATCCGAGTTTTAAAACAGAGTATTCCACCTCAAGTAGGGAAAATAGTATTGTCATTTCGCATCTGGATCACCACTCCACTCTGTAGGCAAATTGACTGAGTCCATAAAGCAACATAACTGGACACCAATATGCCATTGACTGTAGGTACTATTAACTTCTTGAGGATGGCAACTTTATGAGAAAAAAATGACGAATTTATAAGAATATTGTCAAAATTAAAAAAGTTCAGAAATTGGAGGTAGTCAGAGAGGTTTCTGATTTAAGGGTTATCGCATTTTAGGTAAGCGGCTATCAATAAAATTAGAATTAATTTGTATTTATTTTTGATTGCCGTAATTTTGTATAATTTCTCCGAAATTTTTTTTCCCAAGCTTTCGCCACACATTAGATGAGCGGCGAAAGGCTGATAACGACTTCACAGGGCGGGACTACAGCTAATACAATTCAAATTTTTTTGAATAGTTTATAGGTTGAGGCAAATGGCTAACACGGAAAAGATAGGAGGTTTTTTTTTTTTTTTTTAAAGCTGAGGCATTCAATTAGGCAGGACGTCAGCTTTTTGACTTTTAAGCAACGTCAAAAATTTTTTTTTTTAATTGAAAATTTGCGTCGTCAAAATTTTTTATTTTTTCCACCTTTGATCATAATGTGATCAACGACACATATTGTCGGCCAAAATATTTTCTTTTAAAGTGAGAAGGCAATTATTGATTGATTTGTGCAAAAATTATTTTTTTTAACTGAAAAAAGTTTATATACTAATTATTACATTTTATAAATATGATATTATTTATCATTATTGATTGCGATAATAATATTATAAAATATGACTTAGGCAAATTTTATTAGTAATTTAATAGCATACTTGGTTATCATCTTAATTTATAAATTTAATATTATTCTAATATCATATTTTAAATTTTTGATAATTTTGATTTATAATAAAAATTTAGTAATACGATTTAAGAATTTTAATTTGAAAAGTGTTACACTGTAATTTGAAAATTAGTATTTCGTGTAAAACGTAAAACCCTAATTACGCCTATTTAAGGTTACGTTTTACGGGAGAAAAAATTTGGTCGCGTTGCCTTTTATTAAATATTAAATAACTTATTAAAAATTACATATTAAATAATAAAAGGTAGGAAGAATTTTTCGAAGAAAAAAAAACAAGAATGTATCGCCGCTGATCTTTTAGAATGGAGATTTCATTTCACTCTCCCGGGCAGAACCGGCCTTTGCAAGTCAATAATGTCCAATAGGGTCAGTCAAAGTTTCCTGCAACTGGTCTTTCCTTTTTTTTTTTTTTTCATAACCTTCTGCCCATTCGTCCTATTCAAGGTATCCAATGGCTAGTTCCTTTGCTCTCTATGGATGATACGATTTAAAGTGCCACAGCCCCTTCTTCACTTCAAGAAGAGCTTCTTTTCTCTAAGCCCTTCTTTATACTCAAAGCCCTTTTTCGTCCTTACCCCTTTTGCTTCGCACCTTAGCAAGTTTCTTTTGCTTTGAATCGGAATAGCTATCCAAACCTACTGCACTAAGACGAATTCTTTCTATTGGCCCTATGGGTTCTTCCTTATTTTCTTAGTACTTTTTGATCCGGAGATAAAGAAAAATCCTTCGCCGCACATGAGTTGAGCGTCGATGGCGATGAAAATTCCTTCCCCGTTTAGTTTATTTCATGAGCGGCGAAGTGTATTTTTTTTTAAAAAAAAAGAATCAAAATGAATGAAAATTAAAAGTCTTTTTATTAGTAGTTTCATGTCTCAATTGTGGCGACCCCTTATTCCCCAATACTCCTCACGGAACACCAATTTTCTGAACTTTTTCAATTTTGACAATATTCCTAAAAATTCGCCGAAAAAATTGCATCCTTTATTGTGTTTTATTCTTGTTTCTTCACTATCCCACATCTGCTTTATCAAACGATTCTGATAAAATCTGAACTGGTCTGTGTCATCCTCTCTCTGCAGCTGGACAGAGCGCAAATTTTTTTTTTTTTCTTGCATATTCATTAGTATTGAAATAAGTATAGAATTTCTCAAAACTCAAGTAAGATGGCAAAGCTCTTTTGAAAAAAAAAATTGGAAAATGCAAAAAAAAAAAAAAAAAAAAAACTAAGAATCTAAGATGGCAAAGACTAAAATGAAGTAAATGTATATTGTGTTCAAGTTGATTTACATACTGAACACATGCATGTTTTTGTTTAAATACATGAAACCGTTCCTGCACTGTTTCATTGGTAGCAGTTTCAGCCTCGAATCCGCACCGCGCACGCATAAGGAAATTATTCAAGAGATGTTTATCATTTCCTTGAACGGAAGTTACGTGAATCTCTTTTGGTTCACAGTTCGCTGAGTTTATGACGCATTCTGGGACTGCACACATACACATAATTAAGGAATGATCTTCCCACCATAGCAACGACGAACAAATAAGCAAATTAGTTAACATTTCTTGGAAAGTCCTGCACCATTCCCCTTTAGACCACAGTAATCATAATCATCAAATTCTATTCCTTCTATAAAAAAAAAAAAAATCCATATCATTGGATCTAGTTTTCTCTCCACGGTTAAGAGTAAAATTAGCGAGTTTGGATGTATGGGAAATAATCTCTATTCAACGTTACTTTGAAATTTGCATGTGTTATATTAGCAATGAATTGATTGCCCTTATGAGTGTTTTGGAAAGGGAGATAATTAAAACTAAAAAGTTCGACAGCACGCATACTATTGTTTAGACATTCAAAATGGAAATTGCCCGAATGGCGACAGAGTCAAGAAGGGATAGAAAGAAATCGACTATCTTTCTTTTGCTGGGGCAGGCAGATAAACCAAAGAAAAAAGGGTTTTTATTTCATTTCTAAAAGCTCAGCGAGCGAAGAGGAGCCTCCAAACAGAGCAAGATCAGCAATAGAAATGGCCAAAAGGAGGAGGAGCATTGCCCTCACGCTTGATACGCACAAGGACCGGAAGAGAACAAATTCAAGTACGATCATTCTGACTTTATGAACCAACTTTTCAATCATGGAATGATCCTTTGCCAATACAAAGTCAGTTCAATTGATAAGTATGGGTTAATAATTTTTTTTTTTTACAAAAAATCATATGTTTAAATTCTGTTATAGATTTAAGGATTGTGTTGGTAAGTAATTTGAAAAAATTCTTGTAAGAGACGTATATTTTTAGGAGCACGTCCTGACCAAATCAAGAGAGTCTCCTTAAATGGCATTAGATACATGTACCCTCCTCATAAGTAAGGTCCACATGACGAACCAATAAGAAAATGCATTTAAGATGACCAACAAATCAAAAATGTTATAAATGTATATATGTGCATTAATTCCATACATACGTCTGATAATCGGCAATACCCAGAATGGAATAGAGGTTTTTAAAGTAACTAGTAATTCATTATATTTATCTAAATCCAGTACTGATGATGCATGACTGAACAACATCCGTGTCCCTTCTCCAACAACAGAGACATGATTCTACCAAGAACTCGTCTTGCCAAGTTATATATTTTGCCAAACAATAAAGGAAAAAGACTAATTCTTGAACCCTTTATGAAATCTTCTTTTTTGCAGTATAAATAGGTGTCCAAATGAGATTCTCTTTCAACGATTTCGTCCACCAATTCTTCTCCTTCCAATACTGTCTGAGGCAGAAAGGCCAGCTTCAATTATAATGGCAAAAACCACAGTGCATTGTTATGTGTGGTTGATAGTGGCTATAGCTTTGATTGTGAGGCCTTCCAAGGCATTTGATTGCATTGGCGCCCCGCAAGAACTGATTCCATGCCTAAGTTACCTGCAAGCTGCTGATCCCACACCCAGTATTGAATGTTGTTCTGGTGCTCAAGATGTGGCCAATTCGGCTAATTCGTCTAAAGACGATTTGCAATCCGCTTGCCAATGCTTGAAATCTGCTGCGCAAACTTATCCCGACATAAATTATGATAATGCTAAGCAACTCCCCGCCCTCTGCAACGTCAACCTCAATATTACCATTGATCCTAACATTGACTGCACCAAGTAAGTTTACTTCTTTCGCCCAGAAATTGAATTTCAATTTCACTACTTTATTTTTATTTGTGTTTGACGTCCCTTTATCATCTATTATATGCATGTCATTCCTCTTCTTCTGTTTCTGGACTTTAATTTCTTCAAAAGGAAAAAAAAAAAAAAGAAAGAAGAAAGGGACTACGACTCTATGTTAGAGTATGATTGATTGATTTTTGCTACTATTTCTTGGTCCTTAGAACCATCTAGGTCAAGTTTAGCTGCTATTTAACACTACTGATTCCAATTGAACGTGACTTTCATGTTGTCTATACATGGCCGCACCAAATAGCAATAATATGAAATTTCTTTAGTTTGAACGCTGTTCTGATCAAGAAATCTTACTTCTGTATCTGCACAAGTTAATTTTTCTGAAAGATGTTTGATCATTCTTTACCTTTGAATTTTGATCACGTGCAGGCTCCAAGTGACATCGGAGAATCTTGAAGAGAAAAGTGCCAAAATTTTCAGTTTTGGTGGAGATATCAGCATGCATGCAGTGTAGCCTCGTACAAATTTGTAGTTTGAATGTACCTCTCTTGAATTTTTTTTTTTTTTTAGTATGGGAACTTCAGATTCCAATACTTGAAGAGAAGAAAGGCAAATTAACTGTCTCCTTGTATCCTTCTTTCTTGCATGTTGCTACCCGTCTTTATTAATATCTTGGCTTCTATGAAAGTTTTCATGTTTCGGAATGGAGCTTCACCTATGGATTGATATTTCGGTCGCGTTCATGTTTTACTTACTCAACATAAATATTTGCTGTCATTTGTTTCTGGAGAGAATTGCAGTTTTCATCAATAATATTTGGTCTGTGGTGTGTCAGTCAGTTTTGATCAATAATATTTGGCCAATACTCAATACCAAATTGCTATTAGTCAACGCTTTTGAATTTACGCTTTTAGTCCCTAATATTTTGATTTTGAATCATTATAAATTTTAAATAATGACATTAAGGGTTTTAAAATGAAATGAGACGTGAATTAAAATAAAATTATATTAAATGGATCATAGAAATTCTAATTAATACTGTTCAAAAGGGTATAGCAGCATGGACCATCATTAAGTTAAAAATTTGACTTCAAACATTATACTCGGTCATTTCCATATTCATTGAAGAAATGAAAAGTTGGCTTCAATCAATGGCCGAGTCAAAATTTTAGGTTGGGAGGAGGGAGATATATATGCATAGTAAAATGTCAATTCACGATAGTAATTTTGGAAACTAAGACTTTTTTATATCTTAATGAATACAGAAATGACAATGGCCTGTACCGTTGCTTATATCAAAAATTTAGTTTCCATACGGTTTTGGTTTGCTTTGGCATTTGTTGAATCAATTTTATTTCAAGAAATTCCTTACCTACCATCTAACAAAGTGATACTCGTATCATTTGTAACGGGGTGTTCTTTGTCCCACAAATTTTCAATCTCTTTTCCACTTCTTTCTGTGCAGAAACCAGGCTGCTTAGGTTTGTATTCTCAGTATTTGGCGTCAAGACCACAGTGGACAAGGTTGGCCTGTCTTCAGGGTGCAGCTGCACGCACAAGAGGCCTACTTGTATTCTACATCTGATGCCGGAAAGAATTCTTCCATTAGATCATCTATCAGTTGATAGGCAGTCCTTTCATTCCGGAGTTTCCACGCCTGATAGTTTATTCCGATCGTGTAATTGAGTACCAATACGCACCATTTTATTCGTAAAATGTCCCCGTATGTTAAGATTGTGGTCAGGATGGCAAAAATCTGTATACAAATCAGGAACTTTGCACTGCATTTTGCAACTAATCAAGCCATGAAATCTGTATACAAATCAATTAGATATTGATTTATCTGGTTCTCCTGAGGTAGTAGTGAGAAACTGAGAATCACATCATGGCTGTGATTAGTCATTACTTGTTAATTTGGAAGCTCGAACATTTCAGAATTGAATTGCTATACAGAGCTGCTATACAACTTTACTAGATCCTTATTGACAGGATCAAAATTTGTTGAACCAATTTCAGTGCCAAAAATTTTCTCTACCTGCCCTCCGACAGAGTTATAGTGATGTCATTTGTAACAGGGTGTTGTTGTTGTTGTTTGTCCATTGAATCTTCTGTTTCATTTGCAGTCCTCTCCGAATAGAAACCTGGCCGCTTAGGCTGGGGAAGTAGAGCAGTCTCACTATTTAACATGGACAGTGCAATGGACATGGTTGGCCTGTCCTCAGGGTACCGCTGCCCGCACAGGAGGCCAACTTGTATGCATCTCTCCACCTCTGATACCGAGAAAGATTCTTCCATTACCTCATCTATCAGTTGACAGGCATTCCCTTCACTCCAGAGTTTCCATGCCTGAGATTGTAGACAAAATTTGATGGAGGAAACTTCATGTGTAAAGCATTTTAAGGATGAAACACCGAATCCTGTTTACTTACGTGACCAAGTAAGTTATGGTTGTGCTCTGGATGGTGAAAGTCTCTGTTCTTTCTGCCGCTCACAATTTCAAGGACTAGCACTCCAAAGCTAAACACATCGGATTTTGTTGAATATAGCCCTTGTGTGACGTACTCAGGAGACATGTAGCCACTGCAGATCATCGTATGTCAGTTTCTATGAAAGAAAAACAGTTACCTGCTGGGGAGAAAAAATATGAAATCTGGAAATAGTAAACTTTTAAGTTCCTTACTAAGTGCCAATAACCCTTGTTGTTTTTTCCGGACTCTGATCGCCTCCGAAAGCTCTAGCAATGCCGAAATCTGAAATTTTAGGATTCATCTCTCTGTCTAGGAGGATATTGCTAGCTTTTAAATCCCTGTGGATTATTCTCAATCTTGAATCTCGATGCAGGTAAATGAGCCCTCTAGCAATCCCAGTTATAATGTCAAAACGGCATGTCCATGTTAGCAACTTTCTTCTCGTGCTATCTGCAAGAGCTTCTAATCAAGTAAGAAAACCAAATTTCTCATGACAAGATAGAAATCAATTGAACAAGATTTTTGTTGAGTGGCACCGTATATGTAGATGTCCAGGCTTTTACTGGGCATATACTCATAAATTAGCATCCTCTCTTCTCCTTGAATGCAGCATCCCAAAAGTTTAACCAGGTTGCGATGTTGAAGTTTGGAGATCACGATGACTTCATTTTTAAATTCAGCAAGTCCTTGATTGGAATCTATCGAAAGCCTCTTTACTGCAATCTCTTGTCCTGTTGGCAGCTGACCCTGGAAATGCACAAATTTGCAGAATACCAATATAACAGAAGAAATTTGAAGTACATAGTCTAATTTGAAAGATTGCACATCATAAATGGATTACTACTACTTGAAAATACCTTATAAACTGGTCCGAAACCACCTACTCCAATCTTGTTTGAGTTAGAAAAGTTGTTGGTTGCCTTTGCAATGGTCATCATCTCAAAAGTCGGTAATGATAGGTCTTCCATTACTTCAGAATGAAGCTGTGGTTTTAGCCCTGCACTCAGAACATGTCTAACATTATAACCAAACTTGAACTCAAATTTATTTCCAAAGACGAAAATAAAGTCTCAAAGATGATCTGTCCGCCTGGTCGCTTGAAGGTCTTAAAACTTTAGTTATGAAGTCCCTAATTGACCTGGTAGAGAAGTGTAGGAATAAGAAAAAGCTATACAAACTCCCTCCATAAGAGTAATCCAGGAGCGGTACACGATCGAACTCCAAACAAACCAGATTCAAAACGAATCTTATCGCATAGTCAAGGAACATGGCAGAGCCAACAAATACAAAGTGTTTAATTTTGTAAATATTGATAGAAGTTTGTTATAAACATTGATAAAAGTTTGATAATAACAATCCTGCTCGATTATAGGCTACAACAAAATTTGCAAAAGGCTCTGACTATGGTCCGCATAGGGATCCGCTGCTGGCAGCCACTGTCAGTTACGGATCCACCTGCAGACCTTCAGTGTCAAGCTGGCCTAGATTCTTTCTTTCTCCATATCTTGCTAGCACAGTTATGATCACAACAAAAATAATAATTCTAACAAAAATAAATGTAAATACTAACAAAAATTATAGAAACTACCTTAATTAAAATCCTAAATGAATTCTCGAGTATAGATGAGACATTCCTGAATTATCTCACTAGAACAAGATTCAAGATGCCTAGACTTAAATGAGACAGATGTAAAAAATATAGCTTTCCTTGATAAAAGGATGCATTTTGTCTTCTGTTATGTCCTCATCCCATCTTTTCTAACGTAAACCATTTACCGCACCATCATTTCTCCGCGAGCATATTTCTATGATTGTCTCCCTCAAATTACTTAGCACCCCAAATGTCTGGCATCAGCGGGATGAGCAGAGTTATAATACGAATCTATTTCTACATTATTAGACCAGTTGGAGAAGTAGCAGGCAATAGGAGGGCCTTACTGTTTTCTCGGCGTATTCAAGATAAGAGCTCTTGATCAGAAGATGCATGTTTTACTTAAGGCAGTTGTCATCAGCAAATAATAAGTTGAGAACAAAAGAAAAAAGCATCGACTGTTTCTCCATTTTTCGGATGAAATAGTTAATTGCTCATTACTTTGCATGAGTTCTGTGTCTTCTGCAGTAACAGTAAAACAATGCGGCAAGTGTTTTCATCAATGTTAAGCAAGTATTTGCTAACAAGCGATATTTTGTTAGAACACAATCTTGAAATGAAAATCGATCTCGAGTTTCTGAATTTACCTCGTCTCCGTGATCTCTTGAACAGGATGAACCAAAAAGTCAAAACTAGCAAGGCCAGAACAACTGAACAAGGCACCACGACTAGAATGATCTTTTTCCTTTCGTTAGAGCCTGTTGTGAGCTTTATAAAGTCAATAACTGTCGAAAAATAGAGGTGCAAGAAAAAAACAGATTATTAAGAAATAATGGAGTAATAAAGAATTTCAAGATACCTAGTTCCGCAGCTTCTACACGAATATAAATATTTTGATTGCTTGGGGTAGCTAATCGCCTTATATCAATCAAATCCCCATACCAGAAGAAGCAACCACTTCCCCTCCCTGAAACGTTTGAATTGGCATATGCAGTACAAGTGCAATTCTTCAAACACTCCTCTTCACATTCCTTGAGAGTTGCACTGCTGTCCGTCCAATCCAGCGAATGATCGGGAACCTTTACGCCCTTTACCTCCACAAAACCTTCTCCCTTCGAACAATTTAGAGGTTGTTTCCTAAGGCATCCATTGGACCGTATGCCAATTCCCCAATCCTGAGGTGACTTGGGCACGTAGCCAGTCAAGCAGCTGCAGCGAAAAGGATCATTTATGGTGCAAATACTGTTGGTACCACAATAGCCATAATTATCACAAGAGTCAATAGGAATACTATAGATGACTATCCATTCTAGGCTGCTGCTGCTGTTCCATAAATAGAAATAGATTTCCCCAGAGTAGCTGACCACAATCCTTACGAGAAGTGGACTACTGTCAGGAACCTCATAGTAAACCTCATTTGTGTTGACAAAGATTGTTGGGTTGAAGACTGCAGGTATTGGCGGTGGTATGGAAATAACTCCACTAAAGCCAACACCATTGAAAGGTCCAGTTCGAAACTGTAGAGAATTACCTTTCCAGAGTTGAACCTCCAGGGGACGTCCAGTACCGCTGATGCCATATGTAAATTGCCCTGAGGATGGATCATCCATACTCTTCCAGGATGTCAATTTTCGATTTAGGCCAGTCCTGGAATCTCTCCCTAATTTCATCCCTGGAAGCCAAGTATCAGTGAAATTATCAAAGCTTTGCCAGATGTACCCTTCATCATTTTCTTTGTCATCATGTCTCAGAACAAGATTCCCAGAGTCCAAGAGCTGCAAAACAGTCCCACTTGAGGATATCTCCTGAATATCAGTAGACCAAACTGTTTTTCCTGTACCGTCTCGAAGGATCAAGTTTCCATCTTTAACAATGCTGACAGCCCCTAACGAGTCATTGAGAGAGCTATTTCTGTTTGCCACCCACACAATGGTCTGTGGGGTCATTCCATGGCACCATATTCCTAGGTATCTCTTTCTTGAATTTGGAGGACTGAAGAAGCCAAACTCAAATCTATTTGTAGCAGATACCAATGTCAGGCCATCAGTTATAGTCTCAGATGCAGCTAAGATATCAGTTGCCCTGACAACAGAAAGTATGAATCCTACTGTGCAGTAGAAAACCGGAAATATGATAATGATCTTCATATGAAGATCAGAATACATGAATGGCCGTTGAATACGCGAGCTGATCGAGTGGGAAGTAAGTCTAAAACCAATTTAGTCAACATTACTTAAGTATTTTTTAGTACTAGAATGTTGAGTAGAGCAGTTGTTTTACTTTGAAGGTTGAAGTCCAGATACGCCATCAAACTGTGAATACCAGGCAAAGGTGTTGGGCACGTTGATCATGTAGGTCAACACAAGTCATTAATGAGAAAAGTCTAAGTTTGTTAGTCCAACCTTCCTAGTGGTGACTGGTGAGCTCTGACAAACAAGCATGTGGAAAAAAACCGAAAGCTTCTCTCTGGAGGCTCACTGTCAATGGTGAAATTTGCAAATGTCTTCTAAAGCAGCAATCACACTGGATTTTTCCTAGGGGTGGCAATTTTCGACACGACCTGAAAACACGACACGAACCTAACACGAAATTAATAGGTTTGGGTTGAGGTTTTGGGAATTCGGGTCAGAATCGGGTTGGACCCGATGAACCCGAAAAGAAAACAGGTCGATTTCGGGTCAACCCGTGGTGACCTGATATGATCCAATATGACCCGTTTACGAATTAAAAATAATTTAATAAATATAAAAATAATTTTATCTAACTAACCTAAGTTATTCTTTTTTTCAAAGGCATTAATTACTTAATCATAAATGAATTTATTTAATTTGTGTGAAGTTGAAATTATTATATTTGGACAAATAATATATTATATTATTTTTTACTTTTATACTGTTTTAATTTATTTTATATTTTGTTTGGGATAAAACACTTTTACGGTGTTTAATTTATTTTAGATTTGGTTTGGAATTACTTATTTAAATTTTTATTACTTGATTATGTAATTAGTTTTGTGAGAAATTGATTTTATTAGAAATTACAGTAATAAATTAATAAATTAAAATTAAGTTTCGGGTCATTTCGAGTCGACCCGCCAACCCATCAATCTGAAATTTTCGGGTTCGAGTCAGCATACCTGACCCGTCACGGGTTGACGGGTCGGGTTCAGGTCAACAGATTTTCTGGCGGGTTAATCCGAACCCGACCCGCCAACCTGATTTGGACCCGAATTGCCACCCCTAATTTTTCCCATGAATCCAGCCAGGTGAATAAACAATTACTTGTGGTTCGGCCCAAGTTGATCTCCTTTAAGCTGCTTCGAGCTTAATGTACGAGGACCATAATAATTATGTGTACTAAACTGTATGCTAACTTTGCATAAGAAATTCATGGTCCAAAACTACATGGGTATTAATAATCCAATGGGCCTAAGTTAAGTTCCGAGCTCGTTTAAGCTGCTTCGAGGCCTGCAAGAATTATGTATAGTACCGTTGCGTTCTCTATGTTGGAGTTCTCATGATCCCTTCTTCCCGTCTAGAACCATAACGCCACTTAACTTCTAACTCGGTATTAATGGTCCAATGGGCCTGAGTTGACCTCTGACCTCGTCTAGAACCATAACATTACTTAGCTTCTAGTTGGGCATTAATAACCCAACGGACAAAAGTTTAGTTGGGTATTAATAGTGCAATGGCCCTAAGTTGAGCTCTGAGCTAAAGATATCAGGACCACGCCTGCAATAATTACAGAGTAACATATTGTATAAGAAACCAATGCTTAATGTGGGAGGACCGTGCCTGCAATAATTATGTATAGTAATTGTCGGGGACTTGGTTCATGGTCCACATTCACTCATTGCCATCTAGAACCATAATGTCACATAGCCGGTCGTTGGGTCATTCAAGGATCCAATGCGCAACGGATCTTCTGTCCATATCATGTGCCACTCTCTATCCCACTTTTTATTATATTGCTATTTTTTCTACATAAATATCAATCTTACATCAATCTATTACGGATCCAACGGGTCTAAGATTACACATCAATCTATTACTGTTCTCCCCGCCAATATAGGACTCTTAATTGGAGATCTTACATATAACCGCCGCATGACATTGCGCACTTGTTAAGGAGACATTTCATAAGATTTTTTTTTTTTTTTTTGTGATTTAGGGTGCATCTGATAAAATTAAAATTTGAAATCTAAATTTATTAAATTATTGAATTATTAAGTATTAAATTCAATATATTTGAGTGCATATCACATTCAGTGATAAGTGAATAACTTATCACTTAATTTTGGAAATAAGTTTTGCTCAGAAAATTGAGTACCATTTAATTCAAATTTGTGGTAAATTACATCATTATTTGTTAGTCTGTAGATCTGACTTCTTACGAGAATATAGACTCTGGACCAAGATTCATGCACTTGTATGAAGAAACTCGACAAGATGGGAATGGAATCTACTACGATACTTTCCCTGAATTATCCATCAATTAACTCCATAACCAAGCCGAGTTATCCACAAAATCCCATTTCAGTGCATTTGACTCGTGAAACTGGATGTTTGCATGATTCTTACGGACATTGTAATTGGACTAAATGGACAACCCAAAGTATCCCCCGTTCCATACACGAGGGTGGCTAAACAACAGAACAGAAAAATTTTGTGGATGATATTTGTTCTACCTTTTGCAAGTGAAAGAAAATGGCATCCTCAACTTTTCGAATGGCGAGTAGAGTTTCACTGGAATGATTAATCGTCCGGGCCGTCCTGTACTTTCATTACCGTCTTCGTGTTACCATTTGTCATTCTGACTAAATTACATTCCAATAATTTCACTTTGACGTTCATTACATGAAACACAATACAGAGGAAAGTGTCAAAAAGATTTCCACATCTCCAGTGACAAAAGTACTGTTTTTATCGACCCTCAACTACAGTGATAGTTACATCATTTGTGGTAGGGCATTCTTCACCTAGCAAATCTAGTCTCTCATCTCCACACCTTTCCATATAGAAACCAGGCGTCTTAGGTTGGGGAAGGATGGTGCTCTCACCATCCAACATCAATAGTACATCGGACATGGTAGGTCTATCTTCAGGGCGTCGCTGAACACACAAGAGGCCAACTTGAATGCATTTTTCTACCTCAGACATGGGAAATGATTCTTCCATTAGCTCATCTATTAGTTGAGAGGCATTCCCATCATGCCAGAGTTTCCATGCCTGGAATTATTTGATAATAGTTAATCATAAAATTTTTTGCACAATTTTCTGCAGATGAGAACTGCAATGGATGAACTTACATGTCCGAGTAGGTTAAGGTTGTGGTCTGGATGGCAAAAACCTCTGTTCTTTCTGCCACTGATAATTTCCAGGATCAATACTCCAAGGCTGAAGACATCTGATTTCATTGAGTATAGTCCATTTACAACGTATTCGGGAGACATGTAACCACTGCACGCCGACATTGAAGTTGTGAAATCAAGCAATGCTACTTCCTGAAATAAGAAATGACAATAAAAGCAGGGAGCGAAGTAACTTTCTTACTAAGTGCCAACAACCCTTCCTGTTCTTTCGCAACTCTGATCTCCTCCAAAAGTTCTAGCAATGCCAAAATCTGAAATTTTAGGATTCATCTCTCTGTCGAGAAGAATATTGCTAGCTTTCAGATCCCTATGAACTATTCTCAATCTTGAATCTCGATGAAGATAGAGAAGCCCTCGAGCAATTCCAATAATAATGTCAAGGAGCCTCGTCCACGTTAGTGAATGCCTTCTTGTACTATCTGTTAAGAGCATCTAATTAAACATATGTGTGTGTTTTTCTGACCTATAGCAGTCACTCCAGTCATTCTTATTACTTTTTCCCTAGGATTTGCTCTTTTACTGTTGTCTTGCAAATTGTTAAAAAAAAAAGGGGGAGGGTTAAGATTGCGAACCATAAATATAGTAATCCAAGCTTTTGTTATGCATGTATTCATAAATCAGCATCCTCTCTTCTCCTTGAATGCAGCATCCCAAAAGTTTAACCAGATTCCGATGTTGAAGCTTAGAAATCAATTTAACTTCATTTTTGAACTCAATCAGTCCTTGATTGGAATCTACAGAGAGCCTCTTCACTGCAATTTCTTGACCAGTTGGAATCTGACCCTATAAAATGTCAAGTGAGTCCAGATAGTATGCCAGGAACTTGAAGTTTCTACACAAAATGAATGCTTATAGTCCTGCACTTCATGATACCTTAAAAACAGGGCCAAAACCACCCTCTCCGAGCTTGTTAGACTCTGAAAAGTTATTAGTTGCTTTTGCAACACTCATTATCTCAAAAGTTGGCAATTCCAGGTCTTCCATGTCTTTAGACCAGCGCTGCAGTTTTACCTTTCCAGCTGCAATTGGTGCAACATTAGAAAAGAAACTAGCAACTGAAATAGTTAACCGATAGATGTATTCTTTACTATAAAGTTTGCATCCTTTGGCCTGGTCTTTGTGGAAGTCTCTATCTTTCAGATCCCATGCCTTAATACAGGATCTCATAAATTTAATCGAATTGAGAAAAATACTAAAAATGAAATATTAATACAGAAAATGTACAATAAGATGTCATAATAATGTTGCTTTACTTGTTTAATCTCAGTCAGTGTGGTAAACAATGTACTTGATAATCCAGAATCGATACTTTATGTTTTAGCATGTGTGCATGTCAGATGACGAAAAATACCATTACAATAAAAATCCCATATACTTTCTCTTTCTCTTCCCCCCCCCCCCCCCCCCGCGCCTTCCCTAACCCCAAAAAAACACACATGACACAACCCTTGGAAGAACAAGGTCTGATTGATGTGCTTCTGACAATCGTATCGTATCTATCTGTATTCCGGTTAAGTCATATGTGCAGTCAGAGAAGGAAGCAGTAGTGGGATGGCTACGTCCTTGCTTTGATGTTATTTAGTAAGAAAACCTTTGATCAGAAAAGAAACACACTCAGAAATTCAACGAGAAGATGACTGCAGAAACGCCAAATAGAAAATGAAAGGTAATACATGACTTCAGTTTTAATATGTGGTACATGTTCTCAGATCTCTACATGGCAACAGCTAAAATTGCTGGTTATGGTCACTATTGATGAGGAAGCAATGAGTTTTGCAGCTAACAAGATTTCTGTCAGTGCAATAAAAAGTGAGTTTACCTTGTATATGTGCTCTCTTAAGTAGGATGATACAGCAAACTGAAAACATCACTGTCAAAGATAATGAGGAAGTTAACACAACCAAGATGACCTTGTTTCTTTTCTTTGGGCCTGTTATCAAATCCATGTACTCAATTAAAGTTCAGAAACAAATATTCAAAAGGCAAAGACTGGTTGACTGCAACTGATAAAGTAGTTTAAGCAATTAAAGTACCTAGATCAGAAGCTGCAACACGAATATAGAGGTTTTGAGCACTTGGTCTTACTAGTTGCCTTACGTCAATCAAATCCCCATGCCATATTAGGCAGCCACTTCCCTGCCCCGAAACATTTGAATTAGCATATGCCGTGCAAGAACAATTCTTCAAGCACTCTGCTTGACATTCCTTCAGGGACATACCCGGTGTTAATCCAAATCAACCAATGATCTGGAACTTTAACGCCTTTTAGTTCCAAGAAACCTTCTCCTTTTGAACAATTTAGTGGATGTTTCCTAACACATCCACCAGTCCAATCATGGATTTCCCAACCCTGTTGTGATTTAGGTATGAATCCAGTCAAGCAACTGCAAATAGTTGGGTCACTTATCGTGCAAATACTGTTGGCACCACAATGGCCATAATTATCACAAGGGTCATTGGGAAGATTACCTACAAGTAGCCATTTTAGACTGGTAGCATTCCAGACATAACGCTGCATTATGCCGGAGTAGTTTAAAACAGACCTTGTTGTAACAAGCTTGGTCTCGGGAACGTACTCGTAGTATGTCTCTTCTGCATTCACCACAAGCTTCAGGTCGAAGACATTGTTTGGTTCAAAATTGAGTCCGCTGAAACCAACTCCATTCCATGGTCCGCTTCTATACTGTAGAGAATCTTCTTCCCAAAGTACAAATTCCAAGGGCGGTCCACGGGGATTAACACTACAACTGTATTGCCCTGGGGCAGGGTCATCTGCACTTGTCCATGATGTCATACGTCGAAACAGGCCACTGCTGGGATCCTTCCCTAGCTCCATTCCTGTTAACCATGTATTTGAAAAATGATCAAAGCTTTGCCAAATATAGTCTCCTGCATTTCCACCGTTGTCATTTCTCAGGACAAGATTTCCAGAATCCAATAGCTGCAAAAAGGTCCCATTTGAGGATATGTTCTCCGCACCTGTAGACCAAACAATCCTCTCTGTCTGGTCTTGGAGGATGAAATTTCCATCTTTTGCAATGCTTACAACTCCTGATGAGTCATTAAGCGGATTATTCCCATTTGCAACCCAAACAATGGTTTGTGGACTCATCTGAAAGTACCATATTCCCAAGTATCTATTTCTGGAGCTTCCGGGACTAAAGAAGCCAAACTCAAATACATTTCTCGCAGATACCAAAGTCATGCCATCGGTGATTGCCCCTGGTGGAGTCAGCATGTCAATTGCCTGGGAGATTTCAATCAGGCAAATTATCAGGAATATACTGTAACAAAAACCCACAAAAGCAGCAGCACGACTGCCCCTGGAAATGGTTGATCGAGACATATCACATTCATATCTGTCGATATGAATCTGTCGGGCCATGATTTTGGCTAGATGTTCAAAACTTGGAGTGACAGAGATGATCTTGTCTCTGATTCTTCAGTTCATCCTTTTCTCTAAAAGGGGTGGCAAAGAAGAGACTATCACGGGAATGGCAAGTGCAAGACTGCAAATTGTCCCTGGGTAAGAAACTGAACTCAAGTTCCAAGGCGTATAACTAACTTAATAACTGGTTTGTATCCCATTCTCGTTTCATTTGTTTTGCAATCACTTGGCAGGAGTTTCAGTGAAATATAAAGCTGGAAGACGAGCCTGACAGGATTTCAGTGCTTCATTGGCGCACTAAATTCAACTCAGTTTGTCTGGCATTCTTCATTTGAACGTGACGGGACAAAGTCGCAGTTTTAGAAAGCGGCCAACTCACACTTGGACACGGAATTTTCTGCCTATGGAGATTTTGAGAGTCAGCTTTGAATGCAATAGTTGTCTGTCTTTTGCGTGTTCAATACATACATAATACAGTACATTTGGTTACACCCTTGCCGAAATTTTCTTTCTAAATTTTAAATGACTCTATTGTATTGAATCAATTGACGTCAGAACTAAATGTTGAACAAATCAATGAGGGTCCTTCAGAATTCTGTCCGGATCGGTGATCAATCCTGAATGTTTTTTAATGTAAATTAAATATATAGACAAGTTAAGCGCGATGGATATAAAATTCCAAATTCGTATATAAAAGTAAATTGATTCAAGTGTATAAAAAACATTCAAATGGTAGTCAATTAAAACGTTCATGAATTGTTTTTTTTTTTTTTTTTTTTTTTTTTTGATCCGGCAATGTACCAATCACAGTGGGGAGAGGATAATTTGTGCTTTTCCAGACAATGCTTTCTAGTCTCAACAGAAAGGATCGAACAAAAATTAATTCCATTTTTAAGCTGCTGGGGCTTGGCCCTTTGGTGAAGATTTTCAACTGTTTCGTTGACTTTTTGTGCACCAATTTTCAAGACTTGCACCATTTCTTATGTTTTTATCAATTTCACAAAAGAAACATTTATAAGTTGTGAGCAGACAGTGTCCATAGATATTGCTCTTCACGTCACGGCTTGCACTTTGCCAATCTTGCTAGGCAATTTCAATCTAGAGTCCAGAAGTTTAATTTAACTTTATCATGCGATAGGTCTTCTTAGATTAAACAAGGGACATGTAACTATGGTCAAAGTCTTGAATGCAGTTCCATTTGGATTGTTATTTTTAGGAATTTTTATAGAAAAATATATTATAACGATTTGATGTATATAAGATAGTAGAAATGTGTTTGCGAAAATCACAAAAATTTTTCTGCGTAAAATCATATTCCAAACATAGAAACTATGATGCTGTCTAAGTAAAGAAACGTGCAATTGACTGGGGGATATAACTGTCATGTGGTATGTGTAATATTGAGTAAACTCTTTCTTGTTTGGGCAGCTTTTTGCAAAAAAAAAAAAAAAAAAAAACCCTTCCAATTTCTTGTTTTCCTAGCTGAATTTTGGAAGTCATTGACAATAATTTCCAAGATCTTAGGTGCCACCTTGGTCGAAATTACCCACTAAATGGGTCTCTACCTTAGTTCGATAGAAAAATTGGATGCAAAAAATATCAAGCTTCATAAGTTTTGCCTTGGTTATACCCACTGCGAGACAGGAATTTAACTTGAATATTAGGTATTAACCAATTCGATCTTCCTCGCTAAAACGAAATGAAATATATTAATCAACATTAAAACGTTGAAGAATACACCATAAAGGATCTCAAGTTAAATAATACACGAAGAAATGCAACTCTTGAAATTTAGGTAAATGATACTAAAATAACAACACAACAAGACATCGTGCTTTAATTAACAGTAGAACTGGAGATGTGGGCATCTCTTCAAAGTGGGTGAATTCTCTTCATACGATCCTACTTGCAAGTATCTCAGTTTAAAATTAACAAAGAGCTGAATTCCAAACCTTGCAAGGTGCCTTCATTCTTCTACCCCTTTCTTCTCTTATTTTCTCTGACAACACCAAAGTCAAATAAAAGAACATGCTTTTCAAGAAATCTTCCCCCACTTTATCCCTTGTCATCCTAGTTTATGATTCCTGCACATTTACTTATCATGAAATTGAATTCTGGTATCGGCCAAAGCTCAAACCAAAGTCCAAACAAAATTTACATTTGAACTGATTAATATGGAAGAGAAATTAACGTTCTGCAGCATATACCATACACTTAGGAATGTACGCAAATGATTGCATTTACACACCCTTTAAATTCTTTTAAAGAAATATATACATGCTATGAACCAGAACTTATCGACCATGTAACAGTGTTACTGTTACATCAGTAGAATTATGCGGCATTTTCCCACTTGATGTAGAATCCGTGTCAATAACAGTTCTCTCGATGTAAAAACCAGGTCGTTTAGGCTGCGGAAGAGTTGGATTCTCACTGTCCAAAAGTAATAGAACAGTTGACATGGCAGGTCTGTCATCAGGCCGCTGTTGAACGCACAAGAGGCCAACTTGGATACACCTCAACACCTCAGATGTAGAAGCCGCCCCCTCCATAAATGGGTCAACTAGATTCGAAGTATTTCCTTCATTCCATAGTCTCCAAGCCTGAATTCAGAGCCACCCTCAGGTCAGTTGTATTATTCTCTACAAGATGTTTGTCAAGAAAGTATTGCTGTTAATTTTGGACTCACATGTCCCAAAAGGTTGAGGTCATGATCAGGATGGCAAAATCCTCTGTTCTTTTCACCACTAACTATCTCCAAAACCAGGACACCAAAGCTAAACACATCAGATTTAACTGAAAACAGGCCATCTACTGCATACTCAGGAGCCATATAGCCACTACATGGAAACATGGAAGAATATTCATCATTTGCAAATTAGCTACTGATGTCTGTGAAAAAGAGGCAGGGAAAAGAAAATGTGCTTACTATGTTCCCATGACTCTCGTGGTGTTATCCTGGTAATGATCACAACCAAATGTTCGTGCTAGGCCAAAGTCAGAGATTTTAGGATTCATTTCAGTGTCGAGAAGAATGTTGCTTGCTTTCAAATCCCTATGAATTATTCTCAACCTGGAATCTCGATGAAGGTATAGAAGTCCCCGAGCAATTCCAACAATTATGTCAAAGCGTTTTCTCCAATCTAGTACTTTTCCTCTTCCTTGATCTATGATGTATTCAACTTATGTTAGCCTCTTTCATTTAAACAAAATGACCATCAGAAACTATAGGAAACTTACTGAAGATGAATAAGTCCAGACTCCTGTTGGGCATATATTCATATACTAACATTCTCTCATCCCCATGAATGCAGCACCCTAGCAGCCTGACAAGGTTTCGATGCTGCAGCTTTGCAATTAAGATCACTTCATTTTTAAACTCTTCAATACCTTGTCCAGAATCTTTTGAGTCTTTCTTGACTGCTATTTGTTGCCCTGTTGAGAGGATACCCTGCAAAGCAACTTATCTTTGAGTTAGAATAAGCAAAATGGCCTACAAGAAATGTTAAAGGAAGTCAATGGATATGTGACAGACACTACCTGGTAAACAGGACCAAATCCACCTTCTCCAATCTTATTTGCGAATGAAAATTGATTAGTAGCATTTGAAATGGTGATCAAATCAAATAAGGGTAACTCTATCTCGTCATCTGCAATTCTTTCGGTATTCTCCTGGCTTGCAGTCTCTTGTTCTTTAGCTGACAATTTAGGTAAAACTCGCATTAGACATCAATGGGAAAGGGAACCATCCAGCATCTAACCCCTTATCCTGAAGAATCAAGTTATACCCCTACTACTACGATTTGCTCTTGCCGGGTCGATCAAATTGCAGAAGTTGAGATCATATGTTTTACATTCTATCATACAACAAACAATCTATCTAATAATGACTGCTTAACAGTAATTGACCTCCGAAATAGTAAATAACTTGAAAGCAGTTATTCCTCCAGCTGAAGAACACCTGCGCTACAGTTAGACTGTTATGCATGGTGGTTTCAAGTCCCCCTCTTTTCCGCTAGAGTTCCAAATTTTTAAGAAAACTAGTTGGCATGTATGCCAAACTCCCACCACATCGGATTGGATTCTTTATTTTTTTTTTCCCTTATCTTTTTAATTCTCGTCGGAGGAAAAAAGAAAAAAAGAAAAACCCTGAGGTCCAAATTTTAGTCAAGGCAATAATCTCAAGAACATCCAATGTGAACCAAATCGACCAGGCGATGTGGCTTCATCATATCTAAAGATGAGATGAATCTGCATCGCTTGCCGTTTCAAACTGCATATCATCAAAATTAGAATATGTATTGACTAATGCTTATGAAATTGCACAAGAAAATGACTTTAATATACCATACTCCAATTAGTGCCACGTAAAATATTAAGGATGCTGAAAAAGTAAATTTGGTCGAACAAAATCCTAACAGTTTGAGCTGAAATCATCCACAAGTTGGTTCCTAAAAATATTCTTCTATATTCCATTGGCATTGAAAAACTGGACGTGACTTTTGGGATAGGCCCATTGGCCATAAGACTATTGCAGAACAAGTGGAAAAAGGTGTAATCTGTTTGCGTCCGAATATGAAGAAAACTTGCTAGATGATAAGGATGGTAAAACATATTTGTCAACTGAGGCATTTCGTCAAACAATTAATAATGCAATAACAGCAAAGCTAGGGTTTACCTTGACCACCCTTTGCGGTCCATTTACGGAAAAGACACCACCCGCCGAGGACCAACACAAGAGTCCCTAAACCCACCGACACCGATATTATCAAAATCCCCCTTTTGCTGTCAGACCCTTCCACAATCCATCAAGAATGACAGCGAAATACATTAGTATCACTTTTATTCATAGAAACCACAAAGAAGAAGGGAAAAAAAAAAAAAAAAGGGACGACTTGTAAGACTTTGCAGTTTGCAGTTTGCGTCCTCAAAGTTTTGTCAAGGTTCAGTTTGTACGCCAAACTTTTATTTCCAATAGTTTGTATCTTTGATTTGAG